TACTGAGGGCACGAGGCGGAAGAAGGGAAGGGCTCAGTGCCCCCTGGCAGCACGGGACCCTCTGCAGGGCCGTCTTCTCCGCGAGTCCCAAAGGCAGCGAGGCTCCTGCACTTCCTCCTGCTCCGCATCGGCCGGTGGAGCCTTTTCCAGGTGCGGACCTGGCCACATGGCGTTAGCACACAGGCACGGCTGGAACACGCCTGAAACACGCCTGCCCCCCACAAAGGCACAGGCAGGAAGGGCCGCACTCCACTTCTGCGAGATTCTCTTCCTCCTCCTCCACCCTAACTCAGAGTCTCTTCCCTCCTGTGCCCACGGATGAGTGTGTGACTGGAGGAAGGCCGGGGGGCGGGGGGGGAAGCCCCACACTCACTCGCTGTTGGTGGGAGGACGAGCGGACGTACCCTTTCCTGAGGGCAATTTCGTTACAAGCTTCGAAGTCCTTACAATGAGCACGTTGTCACCAGTCCCACTTCTAGGAACAGACCCAAAGGGGACAACCAGGCAGTTGAAAATATGAACCTTTCAGACGTTCATCCCAGTTTCATTATTCATGCTTTATTACAGCATCACACAGACAGCCCCTAACTGCCTGACGAGGAGGGGCCTCAGGAATGAGCACTGGCGTCGTCCTGCTGAGGAGGCCCTGTGGTAGGTCCACGCTGGAGGCCAGCCTCTGTCCTGACAGGTAACGATGCCCCCAACACACCACCACATAACGTAGTGTTAAGTGGAAATAGTCTGTTGCCATTAAAGACTTTATTAGATGAACATAATGTAACTGCGGAGGAGAAGTTTTCAAGGGTTATATGTACCGAAATGTTGTGTAGCAAAAGCCTTAACCACTGCTAGACCCCAAAGGTTCCATAGAAGTAACTCAGTGACACATGCACTGAGTGTTCTGGTCCCATATCCAGGTTATCTCCGCATCCGCGGAACGACACCTGCGTAGGGACACCTGCCCGCGCTCCACGCCCACACGGGCCTTGACACCAGGTGCCTCATTCTCATCTGTGAAGGGGAGAAGCAGCCAGAGGGTCTCCATGATTTTGCTGGGACACGTGGAATTCAATCCAATGTCTTTCTCGTTCGCACAGTTCCCATGTGGTGAGGACTGACTTCATGATTATGGGCTAATATTCGTGACTATGGTCCCATTCTAGAAATTAGGCCAATGTGCACCGCTGACCGCAAGTAACCCCTGGGATTATTTCACTCTGTTGTAGGGTAGCTATAGCAATCCTTTATCTTATGTCTCTATCTGTAACTTCCTGTCAATTATTCTAATTGTAACATGTGATCTGATCAGTGGTTCTCAGCCAAAGATAGTTAGCCGCCCGGGCGGTGGGTGACCCCTAAGGACACTGGGCTGTCTGAGCGTGGCGGGGCAGGGGCGCTGGGTCCAGTCACAGCGGCGAGGGAGCGGCTGACCCCCTGCCTGCGCAGGGCAGCCCGACACGCACATGGCCCGGCTCAAGCGTCAGGCGTGGGGGAGACACGGGACTAAAGAGAGAAGCCATGTCTGTGTTGCTGTCATTTGCGCTTTTCCTAAATGTAGAGCCAAATAAAGTGTCAGTTACCTAAGGGCTACATTTCAATAAAACGGAAAAATAATTGCTTAGAAACGGCGGTCAATAGTGACCAAAAAAGTAAGCACGTAAACAAAGCAAAAACACAAAAAACTATGAAATCTGGAGAGTCTTTCAAGTCCCGGACATTGTGCAGAGAAACAGGCAGCTTCCTCACTTCCTCAGCGAGGGTGCTGCTGTCTTTAGGTCCCTCATCGAGTCTGTCTCACATCATGAAACCAGCCGTCTTCTCACGGTGCCCGTGGTCAGTGAACGCTCAGCAAGGAGCTGAGAGACCTGTGAGCACACCCCCACGAGACAGTGAGAGCTTCCGGGGCTGGTGTGCAGTGATTCTCACCCTGAAGCCCTGTCCCAGGGCCAGTGGAGAGCATGCCCGCCCGCTGCCTGGGCCCGTCCCCCGGGGCTCAGCCAGGCCCCCCCGACTTGTAGGAGTGTTTCCTCCCCATGCTCACACCCTCCCTGGTCTGATGACACTGTCCGTCTGCGTCAGTCTCAGCTGAAATGTGCGAGCCTCTGCTGACATCACTGGGGAAAGAGGGGGCCTGTGGCTGAATGTGTCCCGGGCTCCCCCACGCTCCTCCTCAGGTTGGGTCGTGCGCTTGTCGGTTTCGGTCTAAAAAGAGACTGTTTCCAGGACAACCACCCTGTCTCCTGAGGATCATGTGATATTTTCTCCATTTTAATGAAGACTTGACTGTCTTTCACACATTTGAAAATTCACAAGTCACACAGCACAGAGTCGGGCTCTATTTTGCTACTTTTCAGAGCTGCCTTTCCCCGTCCCTGTTTTAAGCAGAGAGAGAGATTAGAGCAGATGAGGACAGATAATAGCTCAGATGCCCTTTTCTTCAGGGAAACGTGGATTCATGGGAAAATATAGCTATAAGTGTCCGAGGCACAGCTAAATGTATCTCCTGGTCAGGAGGATTCCTTTCTGAAGCGCAGTTGCTGTCCCATCCCCGTGGGCTCCTACCTGAGCTCTCCCTGAGCGCCCGCGTCTTAAGCTGCCTCTCACCTCAGGGCCCGGGCAGCAGAGGCTCCGGGGTCTCTGCAGACGTGTCTCTTTGAAGCCGTCTGGGTGAAAAGGCAGTGATGGCTCCCGCACCTGTCTGTGCGAGGAGTTGACACCCTAGAACCGTGGTCGGCAGACCGCGGCTCACGAGCCACATGCGGCTCTTTGGCCCCTTGAGTGTGGCTCTTCCACAAAATACCACGTGTGGGCGCACACGTACAGTGCAATTGAAACTTTAGAGAATTTTTAGTTGAAATGGAGAGTGAGTATGCAGATCTTCTGATGAATAGCAAGGTACGTTGGTTATCAAGAGGAAACGTTTTGAAACGTTTCGCTTCCTTATTAACCTGCCCTAAAGAACTGACCATCACAGCACTGAGATGTCTTCACAAGAGGCTGTTGAGACCACTTGACCTGCAAGTGTAAAATGAGCTGGAAGGAAAGGAAGCTGGGCCGGTCTGCTCCCCGGGAAGTGCTCTCTTCACCGAGGGCTCTCCTGGGCAGCCGTGATGGCTAAGCAGGTGCCCACCACCAGAAGGGAGGAGGGAGCCGGCAGCGCCTGCCCTCGGAGGGCGCAGGTGCCCAGGACGGAGGCGGGAGACGAGCACACATTGGGTTTGAGGCCGGCAGACGGCGGCAGCTCTTCTCAGACACTCAGCGGCTGAGAGGCGGTAGGGGACATACAGGAAGCCGCTTTATGCTAAAAAGCAGGCACCTCATCCATAAAAGTGGATAAAGGCGTTTCAAGTAAAGTGTGCACATGAATCATAACCACGGGAAATACAAACTTATGAGCAGATTCTGAAACGCATTCCAGCTCTCTGCCTGGCCAGGTTGCCGGCATTGATAACGTTTTACTTGCCAATGAGAGAGAAAGCCATGTGCTCGCTTCACTCCTGCTCAGTCCTCAGAGCACCCTCCTTCAGACGCACCCTGAGCGGGGGATGGGGGGTGGAACTTCCTGAGACGCACTGTGCTCTGAGCTTCAGATGTTCGTCCACTTACGCATTCCTTCCTTCACTCCTACGATTTAAGAAAGATCCTTAAAGAAACAAGGAAAGTGAGGCCCAGGGGGTTACAGTGCCTGTGAGACGGAAGAGTCTGGTGGATTCTAAAGGCTACCTTTCTCACCACACTCCTCTGTTTAGATTAGTGAACCCAACAAAATGAAGGAATTCCATCTCAGAGATGCAGTACAGGCCCCTGCACGGCGAATGGGTGGCTGCATGTCGCTGTGGCCTCCGGGTGTGTCTGGGAAGAGGCTGTCCGCCCTGAGCAGGCCGGGGCAGCTGGCCTCGGTGGGTGGTGATGGTGTATTCCTCCGACCCGCCCAAAAGCACCTCTGAGGCCACTTCCATCCTATAAGCAACACACCTCAAGCCCCTGGAAAAACCCGGCTCCAGGGCTGGGAGCTGGACTGAGGGCCCTTAAAGGCATTTAAAATACTTTCATTCCTGTCAGCATCCATGACATACTCATGGGACTTCTCTTACATCACATGTGAAAGCAAAATAAACACGAATAAAACGAAGGGCACCGGCTAGTGCCTCGTTTCACTTTCAGATGATGTGTTTGGCCATCGGACATTTGGCTCATTTAAAATAAGAATTCATTTTTTTAGAAGGAATCAGCATGTTCAAGGAGTCAGAAAGCCACCTTCTGTGAGGGTCGTGAGAACCATGTTTAGCTCAGCGGGCTCAGCGCGCACCGCGCACAGTCAGCACGCACCACGCACATGCCCACAGGGCCGTCCGTACGCCCACCCACACTGCCCATTATCTCTATTCTTAGTGACAATGACTTGCACCTTTAACCTAAGTAAGCTTATTCTGGATAAATATGGATTGCTTGCCACAGCCATACGCTAAAGGTAGCAATGAAACACACCGTTTTAATGCCCGCCCATATCAAACCCCACCACCGGCGCGTCCTTGTCACCTGCGCCTAGAATCCTGGCACCCCCCGACACGGACTCACCGGGCTCGCTCCCAGAATCTCTCCCCTTGTCCTCGCCAGCTGTGCACCGACAGGTGTCTGTTGTAGACTATAAAGTCTGGGCTGACTCAGGACAAGGAACTGGGTATCAGTGTGAACATGTCGTGGGCACCCGATTTACTCGGGGTTCTGGCAGAGTAACCGAAAGGTAACGAAGAGAGACGGTCACTAAGAACTGGCCTTCGGGAAGGCCCCTGAGAAACCCCACCAGGCACCCCCTG